GCGGCCTTTACTCGCCGTCTGCAGCCTTTACTCGCCGTCTGCAGCCTTTACTTGCTGTCTGCAGCCTTTACTCGCTGTCTGCGGCCTTTACTCGCTGTCTGCAGCCTTTACTCGCTGTCTGCAGCCTTTACTCGCCGTCTGCGGCCTTTACTCGCCGTCTGCAGCCTTTACTTGCTGTCTGCAGCCTTTACTCGCTGTCTGCAGCCTTTACTCGCTGTCTGCAGCCTTTACTCGCTGTCTGCAGCCTTTACTTGCTGTCTGCGGCCTTTACTCGCTGTCTGCGGCCTTTACTTGCCGTCCGCGGCCTTTACTTGCCGTCTGCAGCCTTTACTTGCTGTCTGCAGCCTTTGCTTGCCGTCTGCAGCCTTTACTTGCCGTCTGCAGCCTTTGCTTGCCGTCTGCAGCGTCGTGCTCTCCAGCTGGTGACTGAAGGGTTCAGATTCCAGCAGTAAACACAGTCAGCTCTGCACATGTGCCACAAACTTTACTGTTTCAGACTCTGGCTGCAGCTAATGTTTGTTTTCATCGACAATCAGTCTAGTGATTAGCTTCTTGTTCATTAGGCTGTTTAGTCAATAAAACATCTTGAGTGTTTTTCCACAGCCCAAAATCCAAAGATATTCAATTAAGATTATTACAGAAACAGTAAAGTTGGCACCAGAAAGTCACAGCGGTTATTTTGTTCCTTCAAAATCTGTTGAAGGCTGTTAGAGCCATTTGTACATGTGTGTTCAGGTCGTTCCCCGGCTGCCACAGTAGGTGGTGTATTGGACAGCAGCACATGGAAATGTAGAAGTAGAAGAAGAGGTAATTACTCCTCAGGTGTGCTGCTTACCGGGAGAAGCACACAGTTTTTGACCACCGTTGCCGTTTAGAGGCTCATCTTTAAGCCCTTTGTTTGTTTTCATGCAAGTTATGGATGTAAATGAGTGCAGAGCAAAGGCTGTAGTGGTAAATAAACACCTCTTAAGCACAAGTCCACAGATGTTTGATTTACTGCGTGGAGCTGCCGACGTGTCAGTTACATATCTTGGTACCAGCCCCTCACTGTGGTTTAGGTTTTTTTTGTTTGTTGAAATCAAGTCACTACAAAGGCGCCTGAAGATCCAACAGAAACAAGTGCTGTCCCTGTAGTACGGTGATGAGGAGTACTGTGAACATATATGGCAGGTGAGTAAAAGCTTTTGGTAGTTTGGAATGAACAGGTGATTGTATGACATGTCCGTACGTTGCACAGGCCTGCGGGGCTGAGAGGCTCCGGCCCGGTACTGCTTCTGCTCCTGGGTCCTGTGGTCACAGATGGTGGCGTCGTCCTGCCGCCGGGAGCATCTCACGCTGATGTCTTCCATCGAACTCTGGGTAAAGTCTGTGTCACTCCCCACATCCTGGTCCCTTTTGAGAGGCCTGAAAGAAGCAGCGCATAGCTACGGTATGACACACTGAGGAACTGCTGAGGTCTCCATGTGAGCACGCTTCTCGTTTTAGTTCTTTTGCTTTTGTTCTCAAATTTATGAGTTAGCAAGAAAGCTGTGGAACACACCCAGACACAAGAATACACTATTGTTACTGCAGGGCTGGATTTCCTGAAACGTAAACACGGCGCTCTCTGGGTCCTAGAACACGAGGCATGGATGTCAGAGCCACAAGCTTCTGGACTTTACAAGATCTTCAAAATAATTTGCATCTATTTGATGTGACCGAGAGGCAGGACAGAAATGGAGGAGAGTGATCATACATGCACCATGTGCTCTGCAGTCTGTAGGATCACTAGGGTTTCACCGAACGTTGGTATTCAATGTTGATTAGTCTGCTGATGAATTAAACATCAAGTCTACGGTATAAAACAGCTTTTTTTTGGAGAGTCAGACCACAGGACTCCTTGGTTCCATTCCAGGTCTATTTGCTGCAGGACAGTCCCTGATTCCCTCCCTGTCTCTCTCCACTGTGTCTTTCAAATAAAGGGACAGAAAATCCATCCAAAACTTTACATTTTCCTCAATGCGAATGCCTCAAATTACTTTTTACTTCCCTTTGAGTCTGACCAACACACAGAAATCCAAAAGTCTTTCATTCATAATGATATGAAACAGAAACAAGCATCAAACCTTTTATGAAACATAAGAGCCAACAGATGTTTTTCCATTTCTGCTACTTAGTGGGATCAGCCTGGACAAGCTATGGAGCTCCCCAAGGTTCTGTGCTCGGGCCGCTTTTATTTGCCTTTACAGAAATAATTTAGGTAAGAATGCAAAAGGATTGTTTTATGTCTTCAGGTCTTTTATCCATTATTAGAGATTTTACAAACTACTGCTGTAGCCTATATATGATCTATGTTTTCTATAATTTTGCGATATCACAACATAATTTTCTTTGTTTGTATATATTTCATTAAAAAAAAAAAATTAAATCCTAATTTTTTTGAATTAAGCAGCATTCTAGATCCCTAACTCCTAATGTGCTTTGTCCAGTTAGTTCACTAATATAGGATGAGTGTGTATACATTTATTTTCCGGTCCTGCAGTGAGCAGTGACCTGAAGCAGACGAGAGCTTTACGTCTTCTGTGGCAACTGTCTGAAAGTCAGTTATTAACCAGGCCATTTTTCTACTACTGTTAACAGAAGTGATGTTATAAATGATGTGCTGTCACACTTCAACATGTCTTTTTTTCCTGGGTTTCTGGACTGTGATCGCCATCTTGTGGTGTTTTGCTTTGTTCCTCGTTACCGTCTGACAAGCTGGTGGTCATGACAATAATCTGCCTTTTTTTCCTTTCATGCTTTCCTGAGAAAAACCTTTTAACTGAAAATTAACTTTTGAAAAGAAATCAGCTGCTTATTTGCAGACTAACAGTGTGTAGAAAGTTTCCTGAAGGCTCTAAAACTCTCTGAGACAGTTTTACAGATACAAGCTGCTGTTGTAAATCGTGGAAGGCTGTAGAAACGCTGAGCAGAAGCGTTTAAGGACAGAATCCATCCACTGCAGTAACTCCACAGGATCTGCCTAGAACACACTGACATGACATCATCCCCCAGCAGACCAAACATCCTCTCACCGCATTCGGATGGCGTCCTCCCCCAGCGGCTCCCTCCTTCTCTTCTTCTCGGCCTCCTTGGCTTTCTTCTTTTTCCTCAGGCTGATCTTGTCTTTCTCCCGGCTGGACCTGACCCGCTGTTCTTGGTGGGCTGCGTGGGTGATCCAGGCCTTGGCTTTGCCGTCGGTGTCGGTGGCTTTGGTCCGGTGCCTCACCCTCTCGCCGCCGTCCCTCTCTGCCCGCTGCTGCCTCACCCTCCTCACCACCAGGACCACCACCAGGGGCAGCAGCAGCAGCAGGCCGATGGCGATGGCCACCACCGCCCACAACCATGCAGGAGTCGGCTCTTTGGGAGAAATAGTGAATAATAAGAACTTAATGGTTGATATTGTTAGCCGACAGTGGATAAAACTGGATCTGATAGTATCAATAAACAGTTGAAATCGTAGATTACCAGTTAAAACCATCTCAATGTGGATAAACAGCTAAAAAAGGCTGAAACTCAAACAGCAAAACTATGGATAGGTGCTAGAACGTAATATAGAATAATGAATAAAAAGCTCCGAGACCAAACCGACCGTTCAACTGGATGAACATTTACTTTTATCAACATCCACTTTTATATGTGTTCAGTAAGATCCAGTATAAACAAACACGTGAACATTGGAGGTGGTGTTTAGTTTGGATTTGGCCTGCGGTGACTCCATCAGGTTAACAAGGCTGGAAACCACTGAGCTGCATTAAATTAACTTCCTCTAATCTCACGTAAACTACAAAGTATGTATAACTTAAAAATTACCTTTTTTTTATTTCAGTGCATGAAACCAATCCATGGAGTAGTGAGAGTGCCAGTTACAAAAAATAAATCAATAAAAGAATAATAAAATAAAAGTGGAAATAAAAACAAGAATAAATAAAATAAAAAATGTGTCAATATTAATCAAAAATGAATCCATAAAAGAAAAGGATAATAAAAGTAGAAAATATCAAGACAAATACATAAAATAATAAAATAATAATTATTTATTTTTTAAAATTTATTTGAATTTGAATTTTGTAATTATTAATTTTTAAAAAAAATGTATTTTATTTTATTAAATTTTTTTTCATTTTTATTTTTTATTACATTTTTAAAAATTAATTAATTTTTATAATGTTGCTTTAAAAGCAAAGGCACAACAACTTTCCTACTGCACACATTTTTCTGCGCTTATTTCTTTTGCTTTTAAAGCAACATAAAAAAAGAATAAATAAATAAAAATGTTAAAAATTATTTAAAAAAATTCAAAATACATAAATAACAATAAATAAAAAATAAAAATAATAAGAAATAAATACATTATTATGATGATTGTTATTATATTATTATTTATTTCTCTTTATATTTCTACTTTTATGAGCCTTTTCTTTTGTGAGTCCATTTTTGATTAATATTGCTTTATATAACACGTTATTTATTTTAAAATGTATTTATTCTTCTTTTTATTTCCAGTTATATTTTATTATTCTTTTATTGATTTATTTTTGTAATTTGCTACTCTCACTGCTCCGTACTAATCTGTCTTGTAGAGCTAAACCAGGCCTCTATGTACTCTGACAGGTTCCACGTTTTCAGTGAGGTGGGAATTTTAGTATCATTAATAAATCAATAAATATACTTACTTTTTAAAAATCATATATCTTTAGCGTTTTGGTTTGTTCATACCTCATTGTAGGAGATAAAATGAATGAACACATCTGAACAGATCTACACACTGGAAGCTCGGCGGTGTTTTATGGTGTTTTGTTTGGATGACATTGAAAGCTGTGCGTGCACATGTGTGTGGGAGACAGGACATGCTGGCCTACCTTTGACTTCCCTTTTCTCCACTTCCTCCTCCCTGCTTCCTATTTCCTCTCGGACACCTCTGATGCTTATGATGGCCTGGAGCTCCGGGAGGGCCGGGAACGAGGTGGGCTTCAGCAACATGACGGCACGGAGGAAACTGGCGGCCTCGGTGGCGTAAGGGAAACAGGTAGGGGGCAAACGGGAACATGGCCTGTTGTCCACTTGGAGGAAAAGGAGGGAGCTAGGAAAAAGAACAGCTGTGTCATTTCTGAGGCCTGTTTCATGACGTGTGTATTTTCAGAGTTAAGTTTGTTGATTAAAATCCGAAACCTTCTCAAACCTGGAACATGATGAAGAACATGACAAACTATACCCTCTAATCAAAAATCTAAACGTAGTACTGGTTTCCAAATGCACAGCCAGTCAGTGGTTGTACTTCTACTTTGTGGAGTTCCTCAAGGTTCTGTGCTTTGCCCACTTTTATTTATTTTGGATATATGATTTTTTATGATAATGGATTTAAAACTCATCGTTATGCAGATGACACAGTGTCGTTTATCTCACCTCATACGAAATTAAGTTGATCTTATTTCTATTTTCAATTTTTATCATATCTCTGCAAAAGTTCATGTTGCAGCAATTATCTCAGTTCACAAGAAGTACAGGAGCTGTTTGTCCCAAATGTATGGACAAAGACTGGAAAGGAAGCCTTAGTTGTTTTCAGCTCCACTTGGGCCTGCAAAAGGAACTGAATGGATGATTCTGATAGCTTTCAAAGAATGGTAAATAGTAAATCCTCCCAGTGTTAGAAGTCTTTGCTTACTTGCAGCTTTGAAGTGATAGTTCAGTTTTCTGAAATGCGGTTGTGTGAGCATCTGCCAGCAACTCCTGCCTTTTGTGAGGTAAACTTCATGTTTTTGTGAGTGGAGTCTGGTGGCTTTGACGGGAGGTATATGATGATGGAAAGGGCTGTCTGATGCCAACAATACTCTAAATATAGCGTACACTGGAACCAGTTATGTTCTTTTTTTAGCTGGGCCAAATTTAGGCGAGTAAAACACATTTAGTTCCTGAACCCATCCATGACAGTTCACGACTTAGCTTCCATGCAAGTCCTCCAAAAACGATCTGCTGCAGGTAAAACACCAGCTATTGATGAGTACCTCCTACAGTCCTACATATGGGAAACCAAACTGGTCCTTCATTATTATTACAACAGAAACGTTTGTGTCAGTGCCCACCCGTTTGAGTCAGCCGGTGATGCCTGAGCCAGCAGGTCAGCAAGCTCCTGAGGGTCAAAGTTGAACAGGTTCCTGTTGTTGGCGAGGGGGACGGAGCCCCTCAGCCTGAGCGGGGACTGGAGGATGATGCTGAGGGCCCAGAGCAGCGAGCTGTTGGAGAAGGCGCCGCGATGTTGTGGTGTGTTGGCGTGAAGGACCAGGGTGCCTTTGGCCCACAGGGGGTTCTGGTGTCTGAAGCAGTCGCTGCCGTCCCATCCGCAGGGGGCGCTGTCACATCCCTGCTCGCAGTGAGAGTTGGCGTAATGGTCGCGGCAGTACTGGATGTGGCCTGGACTGGGAGTCGAGCCATGAAGGAGAGGGATGAAGGGATGTAAAGGGAGAGACGTCATCAGTGACCTGGTGGAACTCAAGCTCTATTTATCTATTTTTGTCAGAATAATATTCCTAAAGTGAAGTTTAGCTCGACTTTAGTGACTGAGAAGGATGCAGCATCATTATTATTTACACCAGTGGTTGTTTTACACTGTATTCAGACCACTGACTGAATGACCATGCTGTTCATGCGTAGCCTCGTCTATGTCTGATTTAAAAATGGCTCACATCGTAGTATTTTACAGTAAAAAAAAACAAACAAGTATTTCACTGAAAAAAAAGAAAATGAAAATGCTGAAGTATTCCTATTATTGATAAGAACGATTGACAAAATATTCAGATGTGTTATGAGAGTAAAACCAATGGAAGGATGTAAAAAATACTCCATTACCAGTAAAGATTCTGCACAAAAAACTCCTCAAGCAACATCAAAATCTTCCTCTTAAAAGTAAGTTAAGCTGCCAAACAAATGTATTCGAGCAGAAAGCTCCATGTTTCCCTCTGAAATGTCGTGGATTGGCCTAAAATGAAGATACTCCTGTAAAGTACCTCAAAGCAGAGTACAGTACTGAGTAAATGTACTCAGTTACTTTCTATAATTGGACGATAATTGTAATAACAACCATGAAGACAGAGTATTCTGAGGATGCCTTTTGTTTGGATTTTTTACTGATAGCTTCTTTGTAATAGAGCAACAAAACACCAGAAAGGTGCAAAAACATTTCCAAGAACAACTAGAATACAGTGAAACCCAAACCTCACATCATTTACAACATTTACTATTAAGTCCTGCAGTACTGATGGAAAGTGTTTTACTTGCAGTGGCCGCGGTCCTTCAGGCAGTCGAAGCCGTCTCGAAGACACTCGGGCTCCAGACACTCTTTGTCACACGACCCATCTCCAAACTTTTCTTTACACTTCCGGATGACTGGACACTGGCCCCATGGATCGCTGGACGCAGCTGTGGAGACGGTAATGAGATCTGATTTCACATTCTTTGCCTTAAAATGATCGTTTGGTTTCGATAAAACGGGGTTTGTCAGAGCAGCGGGACTGACTGGTGTGTGACTGTGACTTTGGTGTTTTAACGTCTCATCTCATATCGACACCAAAATGAGATAATTACTCAAACGAACTGAAGGCAGCGGTACACCAGCAGCTTCTGCTTTATACAAGATAAAACGAGTGTTTTTGTTCCTGGAGTCTGGTGGCTTTGAAGGCAGCAAAAGTAATGGTTTCAGTTTTCTGACATAAAGGGCCAGTTGATGGCAGAGCGTACACTTACACTGATATTGTTATTTTCTCTTTTTATCTGAGCCACATGTAGGCGGCTAAAATACCTTTTGTTGCTGACCCCAGACCGCTTACGCTCAGACTGCCTTCTTCTGGATGTCTTGAGCTTGTGCACCAGGTCACTGGTACATAATGACTAGTTGCTATTTTATCAGCCTGTCAATGATTATCTGGATTGATCGATTAATCGTTTGGCCTCATAAATGTCAGAATTTGATGACAAAAGTCCATCAGCGTTTCCCCAAAGCCTTCAAATATCGTCCTCAAAGGTCTTGTTTTGTCCACAACCCAAAGACATTCAGCTTACAGTCAGAGAAGAGTGAAGAAACCAGAAAATATTCAAATACAAACAGCTGTAATCAGTGGATTTAGACCTTTTTTTCCTTAAAAATTACTCAAAATCTTTAATTATCAGATGGTCTGCTGTCTAATGAATGTCTGTAGGTGACTTATGTCAACACTGAGTTATGTCTCAACACTTCTATGTTCTCGTGAACTTGGCAGACACACCTGATTTTTAAAAACGGTTCATTATTTCAGCTCATTTAAGCTGACATTCTCCCCGGCTACACCACGCAGACTGTTTTCTCTTTATCGCCGGAGCAGCTCAGCCACATATTCAATCCAGTCATTGTTCGAGACCATTAGCGTCGATTCACAACAATGCAGGTCAAGCCGTGAGAGGTGGGCCCTGATACGGACCGTTAAAGGGAGGAAAAGGGCCCGACATAAACAGGAAGCTACCAGGAGAAGCGAATAGCAACAGGAAATGGAGCGGGTCGGGAACTTGATAAAGGTCGAAGGTCGTCACCGTGGCGATGAGGAATGCGATGGAGTCGGACAATGGGCTTGGCAGGTGTGTGCGGGACGGCAAACCGGAGAGGAAAAAAATCATAGACAATAGAGCTGAAATTAGACGTGTTAAGTGTTTTAGACTTCTGTTTCACTGCAAAAGGAGACTCTGGTACAGACTTCTACATCACTATAGGGATTTAAATGGGTCATCCCGTGACGGGCCTCTCACCTGAGCCCCCCCAGAACCCGCAGAGCTTTGTACAGTAACTTCAGTATATTTAATGAAGCCATACAAAATTTCACCTTCATACTATTAATTTGTTCAGAGTAACAAGCCCTTAAAAGTACATATGGATGGATGAATTTTGTCCATGATCCAGCATTTTGAGCTCTTATTACTACAAAAATACAGAAGAGATTTTCAGGGAAGAAAATCACAAACTCAGTCTAATTTTAGATCTACTCCAGGTGTCACAGTCCAAAAACAAAATCTTGTTTTCATTCTCCACATTTTTTTTTCTTCTAAAGTTAACTTTGAGCACAACTAACCAGGGTGTGTTAGATTAGATTAGATTAGATTAGATTCGATTCGATTCGATTCGATTAGATAGAACTTTATTGTTGTAGTCTCAACAGAAAAACAAGCGTTGGTACGCTGGATGTATCGTCTGTTCTCTGATCATTTACTTGAGAAAACTTCACAAAGTGCACTTCAGGTTAATTTTAAGGTTTATATCACCGTGTAGGAGGTTGACGGTCAAAAGACGTCACAGCAAGTGAAAGGTCCCATTTTTACCTACGTTTAGACACCAGGCTCATCTTAATGATTTTCTAATATACTCATATTTTACCTTGTCTAAACACCCTCAAAAAACAATAAAAACACATCTTTTTGATTTAAAGCAGGCCAGTGGATTTAGTGATCAGAAACGGTTCTCTTCCTCCAGACACAGGCTTCGTTCTGCACACAGTGAGCAGGTGGCGCGCTTCATGTCGCTTCAAAAGACAGAAATCTGTTGAAAAAAGGCGGCTAGCTCACCTTGACACGTCCAGCTCAGTCCCAGCAGAACAAACGTCCTCAGATCCAACATCTTCGGGTCACCAGCTGCAGGCCCTCTCCGCTCAGGATCAGCAGTCCTCCGGTCCAGCTGCCACTCAGCCCAAACAGCTTGTGATGTGCCGAGGCGGCCGAGGCGCTTTGTGATGAATCTGCAGCTGTGTGGTGCTGCTGCTCACAGCGTCACCCCGATCCCATCACCGCGGCCACCAACACCTTCAGAACCACCACCCAGCCCACTTTGTTCACTCGCTCTTTTTTTTTTAGAGGCCCTGCGGATATCTGGACGACTTCCTGCCACTGTGTGGAGAAGAATAGGAAGGGCGATAACCATGTGTGCAGCTCTGACTGTGACTCTGAGCCTCCGTTTAACTGAAGAGAGGGATTCTGTCTGGATGAGCCGTTCTCATACTGTGGCGAGAAACGGTTCCCAAACATGGGTTTCTATCGACCGACCTGAGCAGGCCTTCGTCTTCAGAGGATGCTGTCAGCACCTTCTCAACAGCAGCTCATTTTAAACTTCAATCTGTATGCAGACGTGTTACCGCCCAGTGTGAAGCTGTTGTGGATGTGATCTTTAGTACCTATCAGCTGTCCCACTTTCTGTTTCTGGTTCTAGTGGTTTGGGAAGCCCCCCCTGATGATTTCACACCAAATCAGCATCACAGTCCACATACATGAGACCAAGTGCTACTTACAACACACACAAGGCTACCTCAAATCGAGGACCTGAGCTGCATTCGTAGCAGCAAATTCAAAGCAAACATGCAAATTATAAGCAGCAAAATGACACCGTGGTCCTCTCTGATAACGCCCCTGAGCACAGCGTGGACCTGAAGCTGTGAAAAGAAGCACAGGTGAGGCAGGAATGAAGAAACGCTGCATGGAGACTGTGGGGAAAAAAAAACAATCATTGATGCAAAATCCACAACCTCCATGTTGGTAGTTTCACTCTAGAACTGCTTCAGCGTAGCCAACAAACACAAAACAGACTTTTCTTTGGTGAGCAGAGTGAAGATTATTTTGCACTGTGACAATCCTGAGGTCCGTAATGACCAAAAATGTCAACATTTATACATGGAAGGCAAACGTATGTTGGTGCTCTGGTGGTCATGTGACCCTTTGAACATTCTGTTTATAGCAATAAACGGCTCTGGTTGTGTTAAAGCAGGAAACAAAACTACATTTAAATACTTAGCAATAGCTGCTTAATTAGCATTTACTTTGGGTGTTTTGTGTTTTTTGTTTTTTTCTTAAATGGGCCAAACTGTAGCAGACCCACACGTACATATTGTAGTATGATTAGAGCTGGGGCTGCAGGTGG